AAAAAAAAAGTGTGAGGCAAGTTACGGAAGACTGCGTGGAGGACTGGCAGGAGGGGCCGCAGCGGGGGTTCCAAGCAGCGGGGTCAGGGTCGGCCTCTGTGAGAGGTGGACTCGCAGTCTGTTTGGGGACAATGTGACCACGATACAGGCTTCAGTGTTCCAAGTTGGCACCTTAGCAGTATTTAAGACTAAAGACATCATTCTAAAAACACCTGTAACCCACTTTAAGAGCAGGGTGGAGACCACTGTCCGAGAGGGCTTCGTTTCTGATGATGTTGCCGACGCCGGGCAGCACTCGCTGGTCCATCAGCACGTCGCAGAGCATCCGTCCCGGCTGCCGCTTCACTTCCCTTTCGGCTCGAGAGAAGCTAAACTTGGGCGAACACACGTCCAGCTCTTCCATCATCCTAACTCTCTGTTGGCTTTCTGCCGAGTTTCTATAGGAAGGAATGTAAGGCACGTGACTCACAGGTCTGGTTACAGCATCACCAGGTGTCATTTAAAACGAGCGTGGGCCCGGCCGGGCGTGGCTCAGGGGTTGAGCGTGGACACAGGATCCAGGAGATCTCGGTCCAATTCCTGGTCAGGGCATAGGCCCGGGTTGCAGGCTCCATCCCCACAGTGGGGCGTGCAGGAGGCAGCCGATCAATGACTCTCTCATTACTGATGTTTCTCTCTCTGTCTCTCCTTCTCCCTTCCTCTCTCTAAAATCAATAAAGATATATTTTAAAAAATAAAATAAAATAAAACAAAATAATAAAATAATAAAATAAAATAAATAAAGAGCGTGGATGGAAATGTAACCACCTCGGGTTAATCAGGGTAGAAGGGTTCTAGAGCCAAGCAATGCAGATCCTAACAAACTATATTATTGGAAGGCTCTTTTAAAATGAGGTTTTATCCATTATAAACCATTTTTTTTTTAAAAAAAAACACCCTCATTTATTTATTTACTCCCACGAGCAACACCCCAAACCAAACCAGAGACCCAGCCAAGCCTCAGAGCTCTGTGGCTGAAGGGCTTTTCTTTCTCACCTGAGTTCTACCGATGAGTCCAAGAAACAAATCGAATCCTGGCTGAGTTGTATTTCCAGCACGGGAGAAACTCCACTTTTATTTCTGCACTCAGGCGGATTAACCATGACGGAGCCTCTCATTCCAAAGTGAACCCTGAAACACAGTCAAAGCCATTGTGAGTGGCAGAGAGCATATCGCGTGTTCCATGCGTGTCCCTCTCGTCACTCCCTGGGCTACAAGCCCACAGACGCCGGCCGGGATGGGAGCTCCGGGGGGCCAGCTACCAACCACGGTGGCTGGCACCGGATGCTTTCCCGTTATGGCTTTGAAGCTTTATCAAAACCAGAAGGTGTGACAATCAATTTTTCAATCCACAAATAAAATAACTTCTTAGAGGAAGAATGATGCCCCGAAAATAAGCCCAAGAAAACACACCTGGTTCTACCATTCTTGTCAGAGGAAGAATCTTTTATTCACAGAACAGCCAAGCATCTCTCAGCTTTTTCTCAGGTTCAAAAACTCGGGATGAGATGAGGCTACATTTAAATCGCCTGCAGTCTGTGTTTTTATAAATTCTACAAAGCCACTAACACGCGAAGCCCTTATTTCTAAGCCCAACAGATTGGGAATGTTTGCCTTTCCCCCCTACTTTTAGATACACAACAAAACAATGTTTTGCAAAATCTTAAGCATCAAAAAAAAAAAAAAAAAAATACAAGTCAAAATGATATTGTCTTCAATTCTTCTACTTTTATATGTACTGGGAAGAGGGGATTTATAAATATTTACGGGTAACTCGAAAGCCACGACGTGGTGATAAAAAATTCATAACCTTTCAGTTTCATAGGATTGATTAGCATGTCCCGTAAAAAGAAAAGGTAAGTGGTTCTGTGAGACCTCTGACAATGAAGATCGAAGATCACCCCCGCGATGAAATATGGCGTCCTGCCCTCCAAATCGCCTCCTCACAGCTCCACGGACGTAATACGGCTCCTGTGGCAGCAAACGCTACCTCTCTGTGCTTCTAACTGGGAAGCACTACGTCACGTTGCTGTCCAAGGGTAGAGTCCGGCCTTAAGAATGTGGGCTGTAAACTCCGGGTGTCCCTCGATGGATCATAACTGCGTTGCCATGCCCCTGGGGCCCGGCAGGAGTGTGCGCCGTGAGTGCTCCATCATTCAGCTTACGGAGGCTCGGCCCGGCGACGGGGCACGACTGCCGTGCCCAGGAGCCAGCGAGGCTGGTCTTCCCGGCCGCAGGCTCATAACGGGGATGCTGCGGCACCTTCCCGAATGAAACCACATCCCCATAAACAACCTCAGAGGTGAAGACGCAAGTCCGATGAAGGAGTAGCCCCAATAAGGGGCCGGAATCAAATAAGGATGCCTTTTCTTGGTCTTCTAAATAAATCTATTCAGTTTAGGGGGAAATACCTGTTTTTTATTTTATTTTTATTAGATTGTTTAATGTTGTGATAACTGAACCCCAATAAACCAAGAAATTTTGTGTTTATTGTTAAGTACCTTTTAACATAAAATGAGAAAAATCTGTGTCATGAAAATGTTCGAGGCACAGTAACCACCCATACGACTGTAACAACTGCCCCACTGATCCGACTTTCACAGGCCAGGACACAGGCTCGCAGAACGTTTACAGTCAAGAATTAGATTTGCTTTTCAAGACTTCTCATTATAATAACTTTATTTCTACCTGTTGACCCTCCCACGCCCCCCCACCCAGTCCACCTGGCTACCTGAGGGCATTCACTCTGCACAACAGGACCACCTGCCAGGAGGCAACCAGTCAGTGTTTCACTCTCACATTGATGTTTCTCTCTCCCCCTCCCCCTCTCTCTCAAATCAATAAAATAAATAAAAATTAAAAAGATATGGTCTTAACCACGTGACAAAGGAAAAAGGGAAGCCCCCCCGTTCTAAGGCCTCACACCCCCAGCTTCCTACACCACAGACAGCCCGACCCTGCTCAACATCAGATCAGAGTTTCGGAAAAGCTCAGACTGACCCAACGGACGGTGCACGAGAGAGGTCAGTAAGATTATGCTAAATTCAACTTGAACTCTGTGGTTACTGCAGCCAGACGACCAGTGTCCAGGACAAGTAATGTCCCCAAAAGACAAGTGGGCATGCTGGGCAGGCTACAGTAGGTATTTACTGCTGTAAAGTACAGAATTCAGTTAGAATCTTTATCACACTCACTTCTGTCTAACACATTAACTGACAGATTACAAAACTATGTCTAAACTGTGAAACGCGTCTGTAAGCAGCAGCTGATGGGTTCCATAAAGACTTTTTAGCACCCTGAAAAGAACTGTTGCATTCTGTCTCGCATATCTGTCTAGAGGACCATATCCCTTAAACTGCAATAAATTACAAAATCGATAATGCATAAAGCTTCCCTGTGACGGCAAAGCCTCTAAAATATTTCAGATATAGTTTCTGAGTGTGTGTGATAATTGCAAACAATTAGAGTCAAATATATCACAGGCTGGAAGTAGCCAAGTGTTTTGGAAAGAGAGATTCATTAAAAAAATATATCTTCTAAATGTGAGCGCAAGATGCAACAGCTGTGTTCGTTTGGATTGCAAGTGGCAGCTTACGGGGTGGGTGTGTCAGGGTGAGCGGACTCACAGATGTAAGCACCCCAATCGTGGCAATACACACCCCCACAGTTTACAGAGATTGCCCTTGGTAGTGGGATGGTGAGTGTGTAAAACCACCCTTGTTTGTTCTTTGGTGATCAGTTGGCTCTAATGAGTATATGTTACATATACAACAAAAAATTAAACACGATTTTTGTTTGTTACAGGTGAAGAGCTTCCGTAAAGTGTTCAGAAGCAGCATAGGTATTAATCACAACCACACAGCTAAAGCAAATGTACATCAGATAATGCGTAGAGCTCTCTGGGGCCATTACAGGCACTTGAGCTCTGAGATACATCTTTTAGGAAGAGAAATGGTCCCTCTCCACTTTGTATCTTTCTGAAGCAAGGATGTTACCTGTCGTGGTCTCTTACAGAGGGTTATGCCTGCATCCTAGTTTCACAACAAATGAACCCCGGGAAGATTCATGGCCTGCCCTGTAAAATGCACTCAAATCCACAGGCGATTTTAATTGTGCAAAGCTGTGCCTTCAGGGAAAACTGGAAGCAATCATTAAGCACGTTTCCAGCTATAAGCTCTCTAAATTGCAGGCCGGCCTGGTGGGCAGAAAACAGGTCAAAAGTGAAGACGGCATCTCTGTCTCCCGCTCACAAACCTGCAGCCTCACACGACAGGCACGTTTCTGTGACAGGGTCATCCACTCTCATAGAAGCATGGGTTGGGGTGCATTTTTTTAACTTCAATTGTGAAAGGGGCTACAGATGATTTTAGGACACTCAGTTCATAGTCAAACACCTGATCTGCCACTGACCTTGAATTGCAATATCAGATAGTCCTTCAGGCTGTAGGGGATCGAAGGGAAGCGGCTGCTGTACTTCCCCCAACCTTTCCTGAGATGCGCACGCCCTCTCCAGGGATGGCTGGGGTTGGCTTAGTTCAAAGAGGCGATTGCCCTTGTCTGCTTCCTGACAGCCCTGCACTAGATACGCTTCTCCCTTATCAGCCTGGTGGGGAACTCTCGATAAAACCTGCCTCTCACCCTCCAGAAATAAATCACCGCACACCAGAGAATCAATAACATATCAATGCTCTCGGCCGTTCTTACATGGATTCCATTGTGTCCTGCTCTACTCAGGGCCCAGAGTTTTCAATCACACCGGCCGGAGACAATAACGCAGCCTCCAGACCAGCTCTGCAGAACCTGAGGCACGTGCTGATGCGATCAGCTCCGGACGGGAAGTGACAGTGTTGTCCGAGGACAGTGCTGCTGACAATGGAGAAAACTCCAAGGACGAGCAGTGACACAAACCCTGAAGCCCTCCGAACATGCCGTAGGTGAGATGCCGTGAGAAATAATCATCTCGTCTCTGATTATCTCATGACAGAGCCACACATCACCTCTGTGCCCCTGGTGGACCTCCGCTGGAAGCACGGAGTCCAGTCAGAGGACTTTTCTTTTGAGAAGATAAAGACTGTTAAGTATCTTAAATAAACGAAAACACTCAAGGAGGCAGTGCCGGTCTTTACGGCCTGCAATGCCTCAGGCGAAACTCGGGAAGACCGGGATTTGACAGACATGTTCAAGGGCCTTTTTTCACTTTTCTGCAAAAATCGGTGCTCGTACTCCACAATGACATCCATTTCAACCTTTTTATCATTAAGTCAATCAAGGCAGTAGACTGCGTAGCCTTTGCCAGCAAATCGGCGGTGGATTTCCACAGCCCTGTGGAACAGTGGGGAACCTGTGCTTCCTGGAAAGTTTCTGAATTCTATAAATAAGTTTCCAATTCTGTCTAAGCCTTCAGCAAAAGAAAGAAGGCACAAAAAGATAAAAATCTGGAGATCCACTTAGACCAGGCTAGGAGTTGTCATGAATCTCAAGAAACTGACGTCGCTGATGCAATAAACATTCGGTGGAACGAGAGGGGAGAGGAGCCGAGCGGGCCAGCGGCTCTGGCAGCTCCCGGGACGCTCTCCGAGCCTATCAATTCTCTAAAAAGGGGACAAATTGCCTAGCCCTCCGAGTAGACGGCACGATTTATTCCTCTGCTGCTTACTGCTTTCCATGGTAGAATCTCCACCTCTTACATTAGAGTGCTCTTAAAAATGGGGTACTTTCTACAAGATTAAATGTGACACCTGGCCAACCGCGCGAAAAGCCTCCTACCCATCCTGACACAGAGGGAGGGGTGCGCGCAGGTTCCTCTCACCGCAAAGCTTTCGGCCCAAAGTACAGGAAGAGCTCCTTCCCCAGCGTCTCCACGCCGCCGTAGACTTGTCCATTGAGCGGTCCCCAGGAATGCGCGCTGGGTTCCCTGCTGTTCCCTGCAGTAGCCTAGTAGAAAATAGTGCACACGTGTAAACAAAATTACAATTTAATTCTTAAATGTGTTTCCATTACTTCCTGCCCAGGTGCATCCCAATGAGAAGAATCATCTCCAACCACTCCGTGTAATTGGCTGTTTACATGCACTTTGTCAAATTACTGTGCAGCCCTTTAAAAAAGAGAGGCCAAAAAAATTAGGTGGGGGAAAAAAAGTAATTGGCGCACAGTCAAAATGAGCTTCTTCCAGGACCACACCGCTCTGTGTACATGAAAGGAGACTTAGAAAAATGATGTGAACGTCTTAAAATCAACGAGGACAGTCTTCCATTTCCAGAGGGATAGCCAAGGTTCCCAAAAGAAACTTCAGATCAAAACAGCTAGAAATGGTAGGTAAATATGGTAAAAATATTCTGACCTGCAATGATGAACTCACAGGCCAGCAAGAAATAACAGGTCCCAAAACCAATAAAAGTGGGCGAAAATCTCACGGGTAAGCAGCACCCTGAAGCCAGCTCTATCAGAGAAGCATTTACAGGACCCGAGGAACGAGAGCTCCCGTTTTCATGGTCTTGCGGGGTGTAGGGAATTGGAGACAAAACCTGGGCCCCTGAGCAGAGGACTCTGATGTGAGGCCCGCTCCTCTCTCCCTCCCCAACAATGTTCATAATAACAGAAAATGAAACCCACCACCCTTCCCCCCAGCATCACGTAAAACCAGAGCACACATTGCTAGAGTCACAATCAATGTGCTAAGCCCCATAAAGAACCACAGAAATTATGAACATCAGCATCAGTCCCGAGGCGAGGGCCGGGGATGGGCTGCGTTTAGATACCAGTGATGCTCCTCTCCCCAAGCTGGGCAGTAAGTACACGGGTGTTATTTATATCACCTTTTATTCTTGAGATATGTTTTGTAAAAATTACTTAATTTGCACTCAAAATGTAATAAAAAAATTTTAAACTACTATAAATGCATAACTATTATATTAGACACAATAGGTAATGTCCACACATACTTCCAACTTACATTTTTCCCCAGTGGAACAAAGGATCCTCAGAAGATCCAGGGAGAAATCTGGGTGGGGTGGTGCTGGGGGTGTCATGGGAATGACTGTAAAACAGCTTTAGGTATAGTCCAGGAGCAGATCACAACTTTCCTTCCCTTTATGGGGGGATGATATCTGTCAGTGACTCTCAAATTTTTGATTCACAGACACCTGTCATTCTAAATATTTAATATTTAATGTGCTTACTCTGTTCTTTCGTTTACTAAACTGGCCCTTGTTAAAAAAGTCAGTGGCGGTATTAGGTTCAAAGGGGTGAAGGGACAATAGGTATTGAAAAAAAAAGTTAATAAATGCCAGGGACTGAACTGTGTCCCCGCAAATATTCATCTGTTGAAGCCCTAACCCCCATGCAACTGTCTTTGAAATAGGGCCTTTAAGATGCAATTACGTTAAGTGAGGTCATAGGGTGGGGTCCTGATCCAATGGGATTAGTGTCCTTACAAGAAGAGACACCAGGGAGCCGCCTCGCCTCCTCCCCTGCGCTCAGGAGAAAGGACACGTGAGGAGAGAGTGGGCTTCTGCCCACCAGGAGGAGAGCTCTCACCAGAAACCAAATGGGCCGGACTCTTAATCTTGGACTTCTAGCTTCCAGAACTGTGAGAAAATAAACTTGTGCTCAAGCCACCGAGGCTACGGTGTTTTATGGGAGCCCAAGCAGACAGACAAGAGCCAACACTCCTTTTCCACTAAATCCATTCTTCCCGATGGCCCGAAGTTCAGGTCCTGGGGGTGAGGTCCCTCCTTCCCATAAGAACTGGGGGATCCATCACAGGCTCATAGTGACCCACGAAGAAACTCACAGGAGGGCTTAAAAGGGGCAGCCTTTCCGTTCTGCACAAACCACAAAAAGAACCAGTGGGAGAGTCAAGCATCAGGGACTGTAGATACACATCACCCCGAGCTCAGAGTATCTGCCTCTGACTTCTCTCATCTCCCTTGGATGAACTCTAGGGCCTACCCACGATTATAAGCACTGGCCTGGCACAACTGAGTCCTCAATGAGGGAAAGATGCTTGGACGTTTCTTGCTTTTATAAAGGAATCGGTGAGGGCCCTGAATTGAGAAGCACCGAGAGTCCTGATGGTTCTGCCGAACAAAAGACTTTACCCTGCCACTCACACACACACGTGAAGCCGGGTGCAGATTAAGATAGAGGGTGTCAATGTGGGTTTCCATGACAACCGACTAGCAGGTAGAAAGTCCTTACAGACTGGATGATACACAGAGCAGATATAGATCTGTTAAGAGTAAACTTTGCTTCAACATAGGTTAGGTTTCATATTTTTAGGATCTGGAATATAAAATGTTTGTACCATTTAAAGCCTTCATTTCTGAATTGATGGCTCACAATCCTGCTTCCCCACCACTCCAATGCCAAGCGTCTCCTCTCCTCTCCCAGGATTCTTTACGAGTGGCTCTTTAACCATGTGCTCCGATCCTCTGGCTTCTGCTAGGGGCCCCAGCAGAGGCTGGTGGGGACCTGACCTCATCTCATACACACAGCCCCAGACACCACACTAGCCGTCCCACTTCTTTGCTGGGAGGATATTTGCTACTATGGTCATTCCAGTGCTTTAATCTCTCTTAAACTTTTAAATTTCCCAAGTTAAATCCAAAACTCAACACCCATCCAAGATGTTGGAAAAGGCCATCGTGTGCAGTCTGTCACCCCCTTTACCCCCCATGTACCTGGAACATCCCTTCCTGGGAGATAAAGAGCCCTCACAGCCTGAGCTGGGTTGATGGTCTTGTGAGGAGACATTGTTCCCTATTCCAGGCCTCACGTTTTCCACCCCTGATCTAGGTATCAGGAAGGAAGGCAGACTGTATGGGAACAGAGGCTGGTAGGTAGGTAGGTGTAGCTGGGCCAATTCTCTTGCGGTTGATTAAATTTTCTCAGTCAAGTAGAAATGAAGGTCATTAACTGAGAGAAAGGTGGCCTTACGGCCCTAGATTATCTAAGGTTATACGTAGCACAGAATAATATCACTCATGTCTCCAGACTCATCATTTGCAGGTGGAGGCCAATGGCCTCACTCAAATGGTGTCACTGGTTGCATCCTGGAGACATCTATGAAAACATATCATGAAATCTCACTGTACAGGACCACATTAGGTACCCTTAATTATACATCAACGAAACGCTCATCAGTTCGTGGTGTTAACCTTATTGAGAGGAAGAACCCTGTTTGTATTTGCCTGTATAACCTTGTGCTCACTAGGATCATAATTTCCCCTGATTTTTTATTTTATTCTATAAGTTCCAAAACCCAGATCATTGGCAGGGGATGTGTGTCTCCCACTCTGTAAGGACTATTACTCACTGTTCAATAAGTGGACCACTTAAAGCGACCCTGTTATCAAAACACCCAAATCTAACTCAGCAGTAATACATCATTAGGTGTTGTTGGAACTGGCTGAACAAAATACTTCAGAGTACAATTCATATCAACATCTTTTGTGCCATAAATCAATATGTGACATACATTTCAGAAGAGAACAATGAAAAGAAATAGTAAAAACATGGTAAAAAAATATATATATATATATATGGGTTCTTAGTGAAAATATCTTTTCCTCACCCAGATAGTTAAATGCTCTGGGCTCCTAAGAATGTCTGTTAGGGAGAAATTCAGCTTATCCCGCATGCTGACCTGGCTTTCCCCAGGGGGATTTCTAGGTGCTGAGTCTATAAGGTCCTGCCTCAGGACTGTATAGAACCTACAGTGGGAACTTTGGTTCCGTATTTGGCGAGTATGGCTGAAGCATCCTCTGTAACCAATGCTGAGGGGTGGGTTAAAAAAAAAGCTTTGCCCTGGTGTGGTTAAGTGGTAGAGTGTTGGCCCATGCACCAAAGGGTCCAATTGTTGGTCAAGGGCACATACCTGAATTGCAGATTCTATCCGGCCCAGTGGGGGTGAGTAAGAGGCAATCAGTGGGTGTGGGATGTGTCTCTCTCACATGATGTTTCTCTCTCTCTCTCCCCCCCACCCCCTTTCCACTCTCTCTAAAAAGCAATGAAAAAAATATCCTTGGGTGAAGATTAAAAAAAAAAAAAAAAAGTTTTTATATCCAGGATTACTCCCTCAAGGCATCAAAATTGTCCTGGACAAATATCTCTTTGCTCTCCAAAGTATTGTCATGTGTCAGAGATCCTAGAAAGTCCAGGGGATCTACCCATGGGAAATTCGGAAACTTAGAAAAAGAAAGTCTCAGAGGCTGGCCCTCCAAACCTTTATGGTTACTGGACGGCATGTTAGCAAGACAGAGTGCCGTGTGTGCCCTTGTAAATTCTGTGGTGCATAGCAGGATGAATCCAAAAATACAAAGGGCAGTAGACTTAAAATGCATGAGACCAAGGCATCTCTTCCCCCAGCTGTCAGGGAAAAACGAAATGTGTTGTCCTGGCTGACAGGGCCTCAAAGGGAACCGAAAAGGGGGCCTTCAAGGTGTATAAATGTCTTCCTTCTACTGGTGTTTTACCTGATTCTCCATAATTAAAAATAACGTGCAACCCGCCATCAAAACAAGAAATGCTGAAACAGCCATGAAATCAAAGGCCCCACAAATACCGAAAAGAGATGTTTATGGTCAGAGGAAGGTGACTATTACCTTTAACACAGATGTGGGCAAAAGGGAAAGTGGAGGGACTGTGCCAGGCAGAGAAATCGTCTGGAAACCTACAGACCTGACATGACCGGTGACCTCAGGGCAGCAGAAATGGTTCCAGCTACAGGTGCTGGGCGACCCTGGCTCGAACTTGTTTTTTAATACTTGATGAGGAATTAAAGCAAAATGTTAGCACTATCACTTCTCCCTTGCTCACACAGAGCCCGTAATTCTCCTGGTACGGGACATCCCCGCCTGGAAGCAGAAGGACCCCGAGGCCTTCCAGCTGGCCAGGGGCCTGCCGCAAGTGCAGCGCGCTCCACACTGAACGGCGCCTCCTCTGCCACTTGTTTCTCCCCCATTTGTCCACAGGCTCCTTAGGGACAGTAACAATGCTGTTTAAAATCCCTGAGAACCTCAATGCCAGGAGGTCCGTGAACGTTTCGAGGGTGAATCCGATTCCTCCTCTTTTCCCTCCTAAATCTGAGTGTGGCTTTAAAACGTGGGCCACCGGCTCCCACCCACCACCCCCATCTTGCTGTGCCATCACGAGATTTATTGGCAAATCCTGGACTCTACTATGTTTTATCTGCTTTGAAAGTTATTAACACCCCTGTCTCTTATTTTCTAATTATCCGCAACGGAGAGCGGCTTAAATATGAGGACCGAATTCTCATGACTGTCAAAGGCCAGTTGGAAGTAAAATACTGCACTTACCAGAATGTCCCATAAAGTAAAAAGAACTTTAGGAGAAGATTTAGGAACGGACTGATGTATTTTCTTAGCGTGTCCTGGTTTTAATGGGATGGTTACTTAGCATTTACAGGATTGCTTTAAAAACACCTATTCCGATACTTCAGTTTGGCTTTGAGGAGAATGACACATAAAGCTCCTTTGGTTCAGCTGTCTGCCGTGTTGGCACCTGACCCACGCCTTCTGACTCCCAGCACACTAGGGTTTCTAAAGTCATCAGCTCTGGATAGTATACTTGGGACAAAATAAAATCTTCAACTTACGACTGACCATCTCAAGCACCTACATATATTTTTAACTGTTTATTTTTTTAAACTTCCACTTTAGGGGGATATCCAGGTGTAGCAGTGATGGTTTATTCCACTGACACCGAGAGCTGTTGTGTACGACCTAGGCAGGGCCTCCGCATGAAACCCAAGATTTACAAGATATTTACGGGTCCTACTGTAAAATCACCTCCTTGTATAAGCTTCAGCTGCCCAAATTCAACAACGATTTTCCACAAGCCTATTGTCTTTGCCATCGCTGTAGACAATAGCCCGATATATACTTGCCTTTCTGGTGTTGACCCTTATAATCCTGTTACTATATTATTTGACATGTAATCCTTTTGTCCCCCTGAAATAGAGACGAAAATCTCCTTTGCCACGATTTTAAGTATGATTGAGAAGGGTTCACCTTCCCATTTTCGAGTGGCTTAATAATAGGAGATCGTCAAAACCACATGGATCTTGGGAGACAGCACCTGCCTTACTGTGCTGATAGCCACTTATCCTGCCTGTCGGTGGGTGAAGGGAAGATGAACTCCTCAGAGCAGAGTGAGGCTTTTCCACAGATAAATGTTTCTGTCTGGCTCAGTTAAGAGTTTCCCCACAGAGGAAAAAATATACCATGTTTACTTTCAGTTTCTTCTCCTTTTTTCCCCCTGCATTTTAAAAATTTCTTAATACTTTTCTTAATCAGAGGTCACTGATCTACCAATTTAAACCATCAAAGAGCTGAATTTTAAAAAGGTCTCCAAGCACCAAAAGAGAGGTCTTTAGGTCCATTCATCAAAGCACAGCCCACAATTTTGTAAGAGAAGCCTTGAAGCACTGACCCAGAGGGGATTGCTTTGCACATAATTTGAGGGCACACATGATTACAAATCCCTGGAGGGAATAGGGGAGTTGTCAGAAAAAGGGGTCTGGCGAGAAAGCCGGGATCTGGGAGAAAAAGTAGCACCAACCGGGATGTGTCCTTTACTGGGCACTAAGCTGAGAGTTGTAGGTGCCCTCTAATCAACTCCTGAGCAAACAAGCAGCAGGTGAGCACAAGCATCTACAGATAACTAACGGGGGTTGAAATTCAAAACCAAGACAATCGGCCGTTCTTCTCTGGACATCATAATGAATGTGTCTCTGTGAGATTAAAGCTACAGTGGCCACGGGAAATCACCTCCCTCAGTGTCCTCACCTGCTGTCCGCTGTCTCTTGTTCCATGATCCTATGTAATGCTAAATGCTGGTAATAATGATCCCCAGTCATTAAGGGACAACCATTAGCAGTAGCTGCTGAAGAAGGTAAGGAAGCATATAACGCATGCGCTATAAAATTTTAAAACCCCTTTGGATTTCAAGGAGTAAGTTTCATTTAGCTGGAAAACGAATCTCTGTGGATTAGCTCATTCCTTCATTCAGTGGTAACAATATGAGCTACGATTTTTTCCCACTATGAAGGGGAAGGAAGGAGGAAACCTCACACTATGGGGCTTCCTTATTTTCCTGTGGTAGGAATTTCCACGCAACATACGTACCAAAACACACATACTCACAATGACAGATTCGGAACTGCATTTATTTCTAACTCCTGAATCCTTCTGCACTATGCAAACCTCTGCTCTTCTCCACCCATGCAGATGTTTAGTAAATGCCTGCTCTGCTCATGGCTCCATGAAGGGCACGTAAACGTAAGGACCAGAGCTAGCAGACTGGGTACAGGTATCACACCTGAAGTACAACAGCCAGAGGATCGCGTTCATATGACATGAGCGCTTACACATAAATGCTGTTTTACATCCCGTTTTGTGAAATGAGACTGGAAACATATGCAGATTACACGCCGATTTCAAGAAAATACTGTATCCGCCCCGCAATTAAATGGGAGGATTGGCTCTTCACAGCTTATTAGCCGGACGTGTCCATTCATTTCCCAATACTGCTCCTCATCCTAAGGACCCCGAGCTCCAGCAGAGCTCTGTGCACTGTGCTTACACGGGGGCATAATTTCATGCTGGCAAAACGGTGGATCAGACGCAATCGGGGAAATCGCATAGTGCCCACAGGACCAGCAGATGCTGGGTCCTCAATGGCGAGGCTCCCCTTCAAGAGGGCAGTCAGCTGCCCCAAGAAGATACACTAAAGACTGGAGCAGAGGCCAGAGCAAAGAGACAGTAATGGTGGGGGTTTTGGTTGTTTTGTGTGTGTGTTTTCTTTTCTTTTTGGCACAATGATTTCCTGAAGCTTAAATCACTTATTTCTATTTCTTTAACTCTCTTTGTATTGCTTTAGTGTTTACCGCAATATGGAGGATAGTATGCCTTTATAAACTTATTTTTAAATGCTGTCTTGTAAAACTAAAGATTATAAGCCAGTAGCAGAAATATTTAAACAGCTTTAACTCTCTGAGATAAATGCCTAGGAAATGGGATCACGGTTACAGTGACGGTCATGTGGGAGGCCTGTGACAACCCACCGTATTTTGATGAAATTTGCTATGAATCCAACAACCCTCTAAAATTCAAAAGACCCTTCATGTTTCAAAGATTATTATTTCTTTATAACAAAGGCCCAGAAAGTGTAGCTACGGCAAACTATTTAGAACTTTCCCAATAACCACAGAGCATATAAATTCCATATGATTTTCAAATTCGGTCCCCAATCACTGGTATAAAATAGGTCTTTCGTTCCAATACACTTATTCCCATGTTTACCTCTTTGTGTCAAGGTATGAAACATAACAGCTTCAAGTGCAGGGCTTTTTATTTAAAGGGCATAGCTTATCTAGTATTGCTTCCGCGTGATGTTGATAACTGCCCAACCCCCACAGCTGCACCCTTGTGCAATCTGAACACAGGAATGGAAGCCATTAGAAGAGAATTAGAATAGGTAAGAGAATGGACTAAACGGGAGAAAACATTTTTAAATGGTGGCAGACACAGCCCAAAACCCAAGGTCTCACTTCCCTAGTTAATACATGCTGATCAGTGTGGTGTCCCTGCCAGTGAACTAGCCCCCTTCCTACTAATCTTTCAGAGCCGAGGGAAGCCACGGCTGAGAGAGTGGGCTCTGGAGTGTGAAAGGGGGCAGGTCAAACCCCGGCCAGCCCCTCACTAGTCACGTGGTCTCGGGCAACTTAGTTAAATTCCCTCAGAGCCTCACTGTCCTCACCTGTAGAACCCGGTTAACCCTTTAGCACGGGGTTATTGTTTCTCATCAACGTAAGAAAATACGAGTTCTTCAGAAGCACTTAATGCCTTGCCTCTAGGGACAGTCACAACAAACTTAAAGAAAACATTCCTGTTATTTTGGCCTGACTACCAATGAGGTGATACCTACTGAATGCATTAGGCTGGATTCTCAAGGTACATGCCTGTTGGCTGATGTAACTCATGATGTCCATAAACACAGTCAGGTTATATCCACTGCCAAGCCTTGCTGCCTCTCTTCACCTCCGCCACCAGCACCACTGTCCAAAGACTCCCGCAGTCCCCTCCTGAATGAGGGAGCAGGTCCTCTCCGGCTTCCTCCGGTCTTTTATTTTTCTTTTCAAGGTAGAGTGATCTCTTCAAAGCGCAAACGGATCCTAAGCACAGTTCAAACACTCTCATTATGCCTCGGAAAAATACAAAGTCCTTACCCAGGTCCACAAAGATCCCTATGGTCTGGCTCCACCCTACCTCCCCCAATCTTGTCTTATTTCAAATAATTCTCCCTCCATCCCGTCCTCCCTCTTCCCGCCGCATGGTTTTCATTCAACCCCTCACGCACGCATTTGAAGCTCTTTCTTTGCTACCATTCTGTTCCCCTGGGGCCTTTAATCCTCAAAACTTCGTTGAATGAGTGATATTTATGAGACGAGTTTAATAGGTCCATCCGTGTGACACCCCGAAAAGGTTCTGAGCCGCACTGTCGTCAGAGACGAGGGGCGGACTCCTTGCTGACACAACTGTACAGAAACAAAACACGAGGGCGGGGGGAAGGACACGCAAAACACTGTTTTTCCAAGTTTGAGAAACTTGGGACCTCCCTTCTCTGCAGTTGTGAGCATGTGGGAGCCGCGTAGCGGGACCCGGGCGACGAGGCAGCCGCGGGGGAGACGGCCGCCCAGCCCCGCGTCCA